ATTTATAGTGTCAGGACATACAACTTACCTTTAAAGATGCAAACGATTCATTGCTGTGGAAGGCATTGTGTGTACATATAAACACATTTTGAAAACAATCACTTGTATAGTGCTGAGAGGGATCATGTACTGAGGCCTTTTACCTTTGCAAAAATGAAATAGGATGTTCTTGCAGCATGATACTAAAAGTGTGTGTGTGTGTGTGTGTGTGTGTGTGTGCGCGCGCACGGGAGCAAGATGTCAGCTTTTGTGACTTCCTCTGCAAGGGCTTTTGGAAGTTACAGAGTTAAAAACTGGGTTATTTGGGCTAAAAAATTGTCTTTCAAAGTCCTGTCTTTCAAAGTCCTGTTTGGGGAAGAATGATCCAATTTGGTAACAAAGATATGAAGAATATTTCTGGATTGAATTTTTGGAGAGCAGTGCTGGGAGATTGAGAGAGATTGTTGAGACACAGGCCACAGATATGCCATTAAGTCTTGATGAGGATGTGGCTTTTTGTTATACCAAGATAGCGTGTTCATGCAGAATGTCGGCTTCTAGTCCTGCCCGTGTACTGTGCTTGATCTTGGACATATCTTGTGATGCCTCTGACTCTTACCTACCAGTATGTTACATATTCTGGCTGGAATTAATGATGTACCAGCTACCTCCCAATTCTGTAATTTTCAGGGGGTATGTAATGCATACATAATCATGTATCAAATGAATTAGGACACATTTGTGTGACTTATAAAACATGTTTCCAAGGTACTTTCATGTTTATAATTTAATTTTTAACCCAATCACAAACCTGTGAGAGAGAAAAGGTAAATATTTTTGTTCCACTTGACATATTAGGAAACTTAGGCAAATAGAGATTAAGGTAATGGCAGAGTCTAGGTCTCTTGACTCTCATTTCTGAACTCCTACACTAAATTAAACTGGATTAGTCTTTTGGGATAAGTGTGAAAGGGTATGCAACTGGATTCTTTATGAAAAAAATAACTTAATAAATTATACTAAATTACTACAGGAGTAGATAAAAAACAAAGTTCTATTTCCCTTGTTGAGAATTTGCCTTTGAATCCCACTGTGAAATGGATTAGAATGTTTTGTTAGGATGTAAGCAATATACGAACCCAGAAAAGGTACATCTCATATTCTTTTAAATGAATAATTTCTCTTGGGACTTCTTTACATTCTGAAAATTCACTTTATTATTACATTCTAAGGTTTGTGGCTTTAAATGCCACAGCATATAAGTCTAACTTTTATTGGTGATATTTGTGGTTATCACTTTCTACTGTCATCCTCTCCCATTTCCTTTGTTTTGTTCCATAGATAGGATTTGATTTATGAATGAGAACTTTCTGATTCTTCAAAATATATTTTGGTGAATTAGTTCAATAACTTGTTATTGAAAAGCAAAATCCATCAGGGATATATTTACCTACTTTCTCTAAAGAGAAATCTCTTTTAGAAACCAACTCTTTATTGATCAGTCATGCCACATTTCTATTTTTTTACAAGGACATATCCATGTTGTTCAGTATGTCCATAAGGACAGTTTACCCTAAAAAGCCAGCTTCGAGATTTTCTCTAATATTTGAAAATTAAACAAGTGTCTTAATCTACAATGCAATATGCATAATACAATCTAGATTCAGAAGGCTTTGCCTATGGTGCAGACACAGAATAAGTTGGTGGGTCAGAGCAAAAGAAGCTGTACAAACAAGAAAGGAGTCTGAATCTAGAGATTCCCTTTTATGTCACAACTTTGGTGATCTCATTTCTCAGCCAAGTCCTCCCCACTCTTTCCTGTAAGCATTCTTAATGAAACTTTGGAGTCACACTTGACTTTGAGAGTAGTATAAGGCATGTTTAAGCCAAACTCTGAATGCATGGAGTCTAATGTTTTGCTTACCTGAAACAGTTTTTTGTTCATTTGCATGACTATTAAGGTTTAGTGTGCCTCATACTGGGAGTTGCAGTGAAGAACTCCTGTACCTCTTACACCTGCTTCACTCCTCAACCTCACATTTATCACTGGATGCCTTTTTGCTATATTTCAGCCAAATCAGAAATGGACATTTTTCTGTTCCTTCTTGGCACTAACATAGAAGATTCAACGGAACAAAGGAAAAATTTTGTGTTCTGTCTGCTTTATACATTATTCATATTCAGTAATCGTATTCAACTGGACTCTTGCATGTGTTAGACATATAATATTACCTTTTCCCTTTGAAAATATATAGTTTTATGCAGCTGTTTTGCTTTCTACCAAGGTATTTGGCATCTGTCTTCCCAGCTAGTTTTCCTCCAGAAACATCTGAACAGTTTTGAAGAATACAATCTTGAGCCCACAGGTCTGAGGTGAGACTCCAGGGTCTGTTGTTCCAAAGCAGTACCAGTGAGTCTGATGATCAGCTAGGTTTGGGAACCACTCCTCCAAAGCATGTGTGTACAGGTCCTCAAGACAACCCCAATGCTGGATGATTTTCTGGGTGGATTCACAGGGCACAGCATATAGTTATAGATAGGGCTGTGACTTGTTACAGAGAAAGGATCCACAACAAAATCAGGAAAAGGAAAAAGAATATGGGGTGAAGTTCGGAGGAAAGAGAGCTTAAGAGTCCAAGAGTCTTTCCCCTCATAGCCACCCAGCATGTGCTTAATTTCTCCAGCACATGACAACACATATGGGTTGATGTCTGTCAAGAAGCCCACTGGAACTCAGTGCCCAAGACTTTATTGAGGAATAGTCATATAGGCACTCTCCACCTACAAAGTACCAAAATTCTAGACTCCAGAAAGAAAGCTGGTGTTCAGTATAAACCACCTTGTATGCTCAAATATTTTAGGCACATTAGATCATTGTATCAGTTTGGGAAGGATGGGAACCTTCCCAAAATCCAAATTCTTAGATGGGGCCAACTTATAAAATGGCTATGGATAGCAATTTCCAACCTGTGATAGTATCTATTTTCCTACACAATTGTTTATAAAGGATAAAATATAACCCTTTTTTTTAGCTTCAAAGAATGTTAGCTACATTTTGGTTTTGGGTAGGAAGAGAAATTTCTAGATGAATATGGAGATTCAAGTGATGAAATATAAAATCCTATTTCTTGATCTTAATAATAACATTTACCTGGCCTTGTTTGAATAAAAACATGCCATGAATAATGGATATGGCTCACTTAGCTCTCCAAGACCTTTTGGCAAATGGTGTTAGTTTTCACTTAGTGAAGAAGTAACTTGCTTGCAAATTCCTATGTTCTCAAACATCACACAGATATTGGACAAACATGTAATTATTAATTTACTTTTAACGTTCTATTTCCTTTTCCAGTTTTCCAAATGGAATTTGTTTTCCTCTAATTTTTGGAAAGATATGATTAAAAATAAAGAAATTGAATAGTTAAGGCCTGTAGTACATCCAAATCATTGAAAATTGTGGATGACATGATTCCAGTTCAAGTCCCTAAGAAGAGGTAATTTTGAAGCTAAATTTCTTAGGCCACTGAGAATATTCTTAAGCATTCACTTATATGTTAGGATATTTTTACAGTACTTTAACTTTTTGCATCCAGAGGCATCTCCTTCCAATTGCAACCTCTCAATTTTACCTACTAGAATAAAACCATCTGCTTTTAGAGAAATAATGGCAAAATCAGCAGGAAGAGATTGTAAAATGGGAAATTTCCAGATGGAGGATCTGAATATTTCTTTATTCAACCCGTATTTTTTCTTTGTTCTAAATAATTACTTTTTCCCAAGTTCATTTATGCCTATTTACATTTACTGAGTTCACGGCTTCAGGCGAATAGATGAACAGTGAAACAGCATGTCCCTTGTACAAAATCTTCTTTGAACCTAATAAGGATGGCCACTATTTCTTAGCCTTCCTTTTCCACGTGCAAAACATTTCCACTGTTGTAATCACCTCTGTCATTCTTCTCTCTTTTCCTTTTTCTGTATATCCTTCTTAAAAGTGAAAGCCAATATTGGCCTCAATGATTTCTCAGCCCAAATATATTACACTCTATTATATATCTAAACTCCTTACAAAAAACTAAATTATACATAATTGTATATTTTAAAGTTGCAAACTGTATATTTTAAAATAAAATTAGGTAAAACAAGTATTTAATTTGGTCTTTCTTGTTAAGTCACTAATATGATATAAATTATATTGATAATGTATTAGAGTGTAGTTCTCTGTACATTGAGTAAATTTTGAAAATGTATGCTTTAAAAAGCAAGGATCTTCAGCAGTAAATGTATCATGCAGAGACAAAAAGTCGCTGTGGGCTAGCAGGTGAGAAAAATGGCTCTATGTAAGAGTAATACACAACACTGAGGAGGGACCAGGTTTTGATCCTGAATGTTGGACTCCCCATATACACATCACTATATTTGTCATTATACTTGTCTGGCAATGAAAGCCCATATAGTATCCTTCTTCTACTGGTATTTTCCTACATTGCCTACTCATTTTCAGCTTGTGGTCAACTATAATATCCAGCTCTTTTCTGCTATTTGAAATGAAAATTTGGTTATTTACTTGTTGTTGATGCCTTCTTATGTTTGTATAATTTCCTATATTGAGACTATTACTATTATGAATGCCAAGGTAATTAAAAATTATATTTCCATGAGTTAGAATATTCTTGATCCCTACCTAGTTTTCTGCCTTTGGAAAATTCAATGAGTTATATTTTCACACAAGAAACATATATTTTGAATAAAATGAATCTTAGTTCTGGATAGGTAGGATATGCGGAACAAATCTAGAATACTAGGAGTTCTGACTGAGAACTCTAATATTGTAGTAGCCTGCATAAAAAGCAGAGAGATAAAGAAGTCTAAAGATTGTTTTCTCTCAAAAGCTTATTCTATAACACTATCATTCACTAAAAGCAAAAAGGAATTCCACAATAATACAGATAGTTTAGGAGAGACTCTATTTTTTTACATTACCAGGCTCAGTTGTTTAACTGCAAGGCAATGCAGAGCTATCAAAGAAAAACATTACCTGTGTCTTCTGTATTTACTATTTCCTGTGTAGGAAACAAGAGCGAATAAATGAGTTCGTGTATGTATGTGTGTGTGTGTGTGTGTGTGTGTTGTCTGGGATGAAGGAACATGAGGATGGAGAAGTTTGCACATAGTGCATACTTTTCTACTGAGCCATTATTACACATGTTACAATAGATGATTACTTGATATAATGAATAGCTAATAAGGGTGTATTTATTTCACAGTTTTATAACTTCATAGTTATCCTTACATGATAGCTTAAATGAGGTTTCATAGCATGCATATTTTTAAACTTTAAAAAAAATCACAAATATAATTGAACCATTCAACCACATTCCACCTCTTTTAATCCCACTTCCCATTATAAACATTGTGTTAAAAGGTCAAGTGATCAAACCCACAGAAACTGAATTGTGATAAATATAATGGCAAAAAGGATGAGGGCCCATGGATATGGGAAATTAAGGAAAATAAATGATCTTTTAAAGCTGTGGCTTACTTCTGAAAGGAAGGGTAAACCGGGGAATCTATTAGAAAAGGAAACAAAGAATTGAAGAGAGTGATATCCTTTAAAATAATTGAGGCTGAAAAAGAAGCCTTTCCCTGGCACACTCACAAATTACCACTTCTGGTGCTTTTGGCTGAGGTTGGCCATGAAGCAGAGGGAGAGACAAACTCCTATTAGGATGAAACTGCTAGATTTACAGAAGGCAGCTCATGGGCAGCCTGTGCATAGGTTCTGTCCCACTATTATTCAGAACATTAGCGCTCGGGGCCAGTATTCTCCTCCTCATGCAAGATGAGGCAGTTAGAGTAGTCGTCCAGTCAGAAGAACTGAGCATCTGAGAAAGGCCAAATCTACTTGAGTTAAGCCACTTTTACCTGGGACCTGCAGCTTGTTCTCTAATAGGCATCATTCTTGGTCATTAGGGCATAGGATTAAAGTTCCAATTAAAGTTCCAAGGATGCAGGGAATTTGCTGCTGGACAAAAGTTTCTCTGTGTTAGAATATCTGAAATGGCAGAATAGCACCGGACCCTTGGCTGTGTCCACCTGGTTCCTTTAGTACCTCACCAGTATGTGAGTAAAGGTAGAAAATGAATGCGATCCTGTAAGTCTTCATGGCAGCAGTCCATATTATGACTCTTAGAATAAATGAAAAAAATTCTTCCATTCCCATTCCTGATGTGGGAAAAAGGATTTTTCATTGTTTACTACTAATGTACACATAATAGCAAAGAGAAATAAAGTCTCAGAGTCCTTCCAGTCTTGGGAATCTATTATATATTAGAAACAAGGGATTTATGTTTTAGAATAATTATTGGTCCACTAACTTTTTATTCACTTACATTTGATTTGTCAGTGATAGGACTGATTGGAACTTGAAGGCAATTCTGCTGTGGTGTTAAATAATGCTCCTTATTAAAAACTCATTCTGGTATTGAGCTGAGTGTCAGTGAATTGACACAAACACACATCCCATTTTAATTAAAAACAAAAACTAGAAATGTTGCTCCCTAAATAGACAATAATGAATTTTATAAGCACTCTAGAGTTTCAGTAAATAATTTGTATGACTACTTTGAGTGGCTCATGTATGATTTAGAAATAACCTTTGACACATGAGGAATACTCAATAGATGTAGTGTCCTCCTTCTCATATTTTATGTGAAATAAATGCTGACCAGGGAGCCCCACTGAGCAGACAGTCGCCCCGGAGTATATTTGTAGCCCTGGGATCCATGAGGATGTCCTTCATAAAGGTGAAAGAGGATTAGGCTGATGCTTCTATTACAAAACTCTATAGTGCTAAGACTTCTACACAAACTTAGAATTTCTAATGGTTGCAAGTTCATTCTTTGTGGAAAAATGCTTTGATATTATTTTAGCCACTGGTAGCACCATTAGTCTGTAGTGTACACTTGACCTAAAATACAATTTACATAATTACCTTGTTGTGCTGAAGATCTATGGCATGCAAAAGTCCAATATCACTTCAAAAGTACATGTAGTATGCCCAGTAAAATACATTGGCTAACATAAAAATCAAAGGAAACAGGAGTTTAGAATATCGATCAACATTGCTGGGGTTTTGAATTGTGAAGTAGTCAACAATCCTGCCCATTTTTTCTCTGAAGACAAACTTGAACTTGTCACTGGTTTTCATTGTCAAGTTGCTATAGTCAACGTTATCACCAGAAATTTCAATGGTGGCAAAGCTGATCTTCCGTTTAAAGCTGGAGATGGAGCTGTTGATGATGTTAGTAATATTGACTTCTTCTGCTTCTTTCACTTTCCCCTAGTCCGTAGACAGTGTAATTAGCTTGGAAGACTTGACTTGGCAAAATAAATAACTATGTAATGAGCTAATGAAAAGTTTAGAGGCCTAAGTATTGAGTAATTAGGTTTAATAAAGGGTAACATTGAGAATCTCAAGAACAACCTAGTAAGTCATACTTAGGAGTCCTGTTATGCTGTTTGTAGGCACCTATCTGTAAGGCCCCAGCAAGTAAGATGGAGAGAATAACTACCGCCCTCCCTGCAGAACAGTGTGCTAAATAGCAAATGCTCAGGTTGCAAAGTTGGCTTTAATCCTACCTGGTCTCACTTTTGTGAAAATCAAGTCACCTTAATCCTTTTAACAATTGCTTTCCTTGCCTGCAAAATGATGATATTAATACCCACCTCAAGAGATTGATGAAAAGAGTAAGTGGTATAAATTATATAAAGCATTTAGTAGGTATTTGGTGACGCTCTATTCCATTCCAGAAAGAAGGGAGTAACTGATTATGAGAGAGAATAGAAATCAGCTGTGTCTTGAGGGCTTTGACTCACAAATAGGCATAGGGATATCCCTGGGATTCTAGGGAGTTGCCATTCTCCAGCATGATGGAGGCGACACACAATGTGGAAAGTGTGATAAAGTTGGAAAGAATGTGGTTCAGACTTTTGGTCAGGCTATTTATCAGGAATGGGGTGTTGGATGACTTAGTTTGCTTCTCCGAATAGTTAAATGAGGATAATAATTGTACCCATTTCATTCTGCTGTTGGGTGGACTAAAACAGACTTTGGTAGGTATTTAGGATATGGCAAGTACTCCACAGTCCCCCAACTATTCTACACACAGCAAGATAAGGGTTTCTTGGAGTCTTCAGCAGAGGATCTTAGCAGTTCTCTAAACCCCCTCTTGACAATATAGTAAATATAGATTTGGGGTGTAATTAAACTTCTTTCTTCTGCCTAAGGGAGCCTATAGGGAGTAAATAAATAAAATCCATTTTCTTTTTCAGCTGGTTCACATGGTCACATGCCTTTGGTGCTTGGGTAATAAGACTGTGTGAAACATTGTTCACAACAGCCAAGCACAAGGGAAAAAGCAACGTTTTAGACCATTCTGATCTCTTATTTCCTTGCTATTAGACCCAGTATAGTCCCAGCACGTTGCTAAAACTGGGAACCTATCCGGCATTGAGTCCCTATCATTTTCTTCCTTGTTAGTTTGAGCTTTAGTGTGCTAATATCTATCACATTTGGCTTCCAAGTAACCCCAGGGCTACAAAGTGTAATGGGTAAGAGGATGGCCCATTGGTCCTTGTAAGAAGGAATAAAGTTTCAGGGTTTGGAGCCAAGAAGTTTTAGGTTGGAATCCCAGAACTATCTCTCTCTCTCTCTCTTTTTTTTTTTTTGTCTTTTTAAGACAGGTTCTCGCTATGCAGTTCAGGCTGGTCTTGAGCTCACTTTGTATCCCAGGCTGGCCTTAAACTCATAACAGTCCTCCTGCCTCAGCCTCCTGAGTGCTGGGATTACAGGCATGTGCCACCATGCCTGGATCTATCTTACTTACCCTCTTGTTCCTCAAATTCTACAACTGAGAAAATGGAAATAACTTCACTGGGTTGTTATGAGCATCTAAAATGGGCATAATATTTGTAAAAGACTTGTTACTATGTCTGGTGCATGTAAATGCTCAACAAATAATAACCACTATCTTGGTCAGAAAGCTGGACCATGATGCTTCACCTTTACATAATGAGAGTCTCCCAACAAGTGAAGGAATGTGCTGGTTGAGAAACTTCACAATTTAATTTTTTTCATACAGTTTTTGATAAATCTTTATGAAGAATATAGAATGTAACAAAAGAATTAAATAGAAATTATGTATTAATCTGAAACTTGTAAACAGCCGATCATGTTTGATTTAATAGTGGATTTTTCATGGATACTTATTCATGTGGTTATACTTTTATGTAGGTAACAGCTATTTTCTGCCAGAAAATTAAATGTATTAATTTTCATTGTATTTGGTGAAAAAAAATGGCCTTTTTCAAGGGATACCATGGCTTCCAGATGTACCCAGCTGAACAAAGATGAGACTCCCCAGAACAAAGTGAATCACTGGGGGAACGGTGATTCAGCACCTAGCACGTTCAGCACCTAGCACAAGTGATGAATGACAGACAGGGTCCTAAACATTCTTACCCTATCTTTGGCTGCCATCTGCTGTAAGGAACTGTAGTGAGCAACTGCGTATTCCAACAAGGCTCCAAACACGAAGCTAAAGCAGATCCCCAGGTACACGTCAATGGCCTTTATGAAGCAGTTGGTGTTGGGAAGAGAGGTGCGGGACCCAATCATCAGGGTAGTCATCGATAACACAGTGGTCACTCCTGGGAAGACAGGCAGGAAATGTTCACACATCAGTGGCTAGTTAACCCTTCTCTAATACCTGGCAAAGTGTCTCCATTCAGAAGTTGACAAGGTAAAGACAGGGCTCAGAGATGGAAAATCTCCCATTTTGAAAAATCAATGACCAGGATTGATTTGTCCACTTTGTATAGTTATGGGCGATGTAGTTTTCTAAATGTTTCACCTTCTATCTTCTTCTTAGAGAAGTCAATAGAGGAAACAACACAATGGACCATACAGTCCCAAATTCTCCTTTATGTGCCACAGTAAAACAAGTTTTAAGATGCATTACTCCTAAAGTAGTCTCGCTTTCTCTGTAAAAGAATCTCTTAAGAAACTAACTCTTGGAGCCCTCCTGTTGGTATCCGTGAAAATAATGGTGTAAAAAAAAATAAAATAAGCACCTGCTAACCCAGATCTTAGAAATCACGTATTTGAGCTGCTTACCAATGCAGGTTCTTGCAGGGACTGAATCCAGAGAGATCCAAAATGAAATCCAGGATAGCACCACCAGGAAAGTGGAAGGAACATAGGTTTCCAAAATGAAATACAGGACATTTCTTCGAAGCTCAAATTGCAAGACCAATCGTGTATAATTTCCTGAGAGGACACACAAGACATGTGAAATCATGTCTGTTCACGCAGTGGCATAGTAGTTTCCTATGGAATGTTGAACTGTACGATATTCATATTAAGCCCTCTGTTATTCCCCCCAAATCTAGTTAAATAGGAACTGTCTATCATTATGTTTTCACAGATGACCTTGCTGTTGTATGGAATGGGATTTACAGGGTGTTGCCCTTCATCCATGTTCTTCTTTTCATGTTCTTCCCTATCATAAGATTCCTACAGCCTTGTTATCCATGGATTTCCTTGGTATCTGCCTCACTAGACAGTGAGTCTCACTTGTGGGGGCAAGCTCTGCATCTTACAGTTCTGTACTCACAAAATAATTGTGTAATAAATATCTACTTAATGAAGATTACCTGAGACTCTTCATTTTTCAAGATTATTGTGGAATGGACCTAGTAGACATATTAAATATAACTTAATTTTTGATGATTTCAGAGGTATACCAGATTTTATGGTACTTTAGGGCCATCCTTGGGAAACTACCAATGTATCCTAGATGTGGATAATGTAAGTGATGGAGGTTTATTGATAATATAATTGTGCATGATAAATAGGCTACTGTAGCACAAACATGTGCCATGGCTTCAAGTGCCAAGCTCTGGTCCCACAGAGTTTCTGGGAGCGGGAGGTGAGCTGGCAGCAGACAGAGCAGTAGTGGCCATTGTCTGGCTGGGTGGAATGGTGAAGGGGTCGTCCTCTGGGAACAGAAGCCTGGCTCGGGGGAGAAGGGGAACAATAGAAGAGTAAAGGAAGCTAGGATATCATTAAATATCTACAGAAACATTACTAGAGAAATATAAAACAAAAGTGTGTAATTTCAGGGCTGGATGGGATTCCACAGAGATCGCTTATGATTTTACTCCATTGGTGAAGAAATGGAGACACAGAGAGTTCCTAATGACTTGAATAAGGACCTGTAGTTGATGTTAGAAGCAAGACTAAAAACCATATCTTTTGTTCTTTGGTCCAGGTATGTTCTACTGGTCTATAGTCTCTGCTTTAATACTTTGATTTTGAAAGTCAATTTTCAGCTGAGCATGGTGGCTCAGGCCTATAATCCAAGCACTCAGGAGGCTGAGGCAGGAGAATTGCTGTGAGTTCAAGATCAGCCCAGGTTACACAGTGAGTTCAAGACCAGCCTGAACTACATAGTAAGACCCTGTCTCAAAAAACCAAAAAGAAAAATTCAGTTTTGCACAAAACACTTAGAACCAATATTTGATTAAATAACAACTCTCATTTGTATCTAAAGTAAGTATGAGCTACCTGCAATTACATAATTTGGTAATCTGAAGCAATTTTTTGCATAAATCAAAATTAGGAATTCAGATTTGGTAAACGATGGCAACATAAATCCAATTTGCAAACTTGTTTTTTTTTTTTAAAAATAAAGTGTATTCCTTCATCCATCCATTGTAAAATAAGTGTGTAATACACACTTATTGCTTAAACTTAGGAAAATAACAAAAGGAGAAACAATCACATTTCTTTTTGATCTTTTTCAATGTATAGTCTTCAGTTTCTAATTTTTATTCATGATCTTGGTATATGTATGACTTTTAATGTCATCTAGGATCAACTAACATACATGATAATTTTTCAGGCTAAAAATATTGTTGAGGATAAGCATTCTTTAAATATTATCATGAGAAATGGGAAGAAAATGCCAACTGCTTCTCTATGAAACTTTATCATTTACAAAATACCTGTCTAAAACCACTAAAGACTAAAAGATCCAACTCTGGTAAAAAACATGAACAAGTAATTCTTCCTGCCAAGCTTACAGTAATTAGGTGTTCATGCTCCTGTTGGGAATTGATGCTGTCTTCTTCACCATGAGCTCTGTTCTTATTTTGATTCCACAGTGGCAGAGAGCAAGTGTGCTAGTTAGAAATGTGAGTGAATTTTGTGCAAGAGGAGGTGCAGAATTTGAATAGTCATTAGCAACTATCTGGAGGAAATAATGCAGGCCCAGAGCTGTCCCAGAGGTCTACTCTTTGGTGACCATTTCAATCTCAGGTGTGGAGTAGGTAGAAGGGCAGACCCCAGGCCTACCCTCCACTCCACCCCACTGAGGAGCTGTTGGACCACAAAGAGGTAAAATGAAGAGATAATTCTGATTCAGAGTATGACCCTCCACCGTGGTTTAGTTACTTTAATTTTATACAATTTGTCACACAAGTTACCTGTCTCTTGCTGTGACCTGGTGACTAGGGTGAAATAGCGTTGTATGGTGTACTGGGCAAGTCTCAGGTTTTCCAGCCCACGCACAGAGTCATTCCCTCGCAGCCAGATGAACTCTACATCATTTCCATCATACCCCCCTGACAAACACAACAGTGCCCTGGTAAGTGCAAAGATGTTGGACATTGAATTGTTCAGAAACATGCTACAATGTGGAGGTAGTATGAGCTTTACTCTGATAATGCTAAGTGCAAAGGTGATTCCATGTAAAACTTGGCATGAATTCTCAAGTGCAACTGCAATGTCTATACAGAGTGTAGTTGCCTGCCTAGTTCATCAATTGAGAACTAGTTGTGTGTTAAACATTGTCTAAAGTTGGTGGGTGATAAGCCTTAAAAGTGGCCTCCTTCATTATTTAAGGGATATTCTTTGAACACATACCAGTGAACACACAAAGGCCTGTACTCAGGGCAGTGTAAGCTTTGACGGAGTTTTCAGGGAGTTTAGGATTAGTATGCTCACATTAGTATAAATAAAAAACCAAAACAAAAATCCTGCAGTCACTCTACTGACATCTATCAAAATACATGCTGGATAGATCTCTGAATATTTTTAACAATGTAGTTGATAATAGTAATAATAGTTACCTTTTCTGAAACCTTCATACTGCCCATTACATTATTATGTATGCAAATCTGCAAGGTAGACATTTCTGTATTTCTTCAAGTCTAAAATAGATATTTTTTTTTCTGAAATTGGGATAGATCTTACAGTCTCTCTATAAAAAAAGACCTTGCATTTTTTTCCTTAAATGTAATTTTTCAATAAATACTGTGCTTAGAATTGAGGAACTATAATATCTTTCTCATTTCACACACGAAAACTCTCAGATTCAGAGGGATTGCATATTTTCCTCAGGATAACAAGCAAGTAAGAAAGCTAGCATGGTTCCTTAGGAAAGTTTAATCTCAAAGCCCATGGATAATGATGATAACAATTTTAATATCTATCATTTAGTAAGCAATTGCTTCCTAAGTGCTTTACAACATTATCGTTTCATTTAATTCTCAGCTATCTCTTTGAAAAGATATATGAATGGTTCATCAGCACACACAAAGATGTTCAATATCATCAGTCATTAGGAAAAGTCAAAGTAAAACCACAATAAGATACCACTTCACACTCACCAGAATAGCTATAAAAAAGGCAGACAGTAACTGGTGGGGAGGACATGGAGAAGGTGGAACTTCACTGGTAAGAATGTGAAATGGTACAGTCACACTGGAAGACAGTGTGGCAGCTCCTTACAAACTGAAACGTAAATTTACCATTTGACCCAGAATTCCACATTCATGTTTCTGCCCAAAAGAAATAAAGCCTTATCATATAAACACTTGTACACATTAAATGTTTTCATAGCAGCTTTATCTCTAATAGCCAAAAAGTACTAACAGATCAATTGTTCATCAACATGAACACACCCACCCACACACACACACACACACACACATACACAGATGCACAAGTGTGTATGTCTTCACACAAAGGAATATAACATTGCAATAAAAAGGAATGAAGTCATGTTACACCATGTATGAACTTGGAAAATGTTTTAGTAAGTGAGAAAATCTAGATGCAAAGGATCACAGTATTGATTGCATTTATAGGAAATGTCCAGAAATGACAAACACAGACAAAAAGTACGTTAGTGGTGCCTGGGAGCTGATGAGGGGGAAGGAGGGTGATAGTAAGTACGCACAAGGGATTTCTCTGGGGTGATGAGAATGTTACAGCAGCATGGAAACGACTTCACAACTCAGTATGTCTACTAAAAGTCTTTGAATTGTATATTTCAAATGGCTGAATTTTGTAATATGTAAACCATACCTCAATAACCTCTTTTAAAAAGCAACTCACTGAGCCAGAGGCTGTTATGTTTCCCACTTCACTGATAAGAAAACTGAAGTCCAGAGAGATTAGTTATCCAAGGTTACACAGCTAAGGATGGGCAACAGTATATGTAATACTAAATAGAAAAATATACTGCTTTCATTTTCAATGGCTATTGAGAAATATAATTAAGCATCTGCTTCAGTCTGTGGTAGCCAAGGTCTAGTAGGGGTTATCTTCCCCTTCTATAAAGCAGAAGCTGTTAGAGGACTTTCAGGGAAAAATTGTGAGCTCTCCTTTCCCTTGGAAGCATGCAAGAATGTACAAAGCTACTGTCTAAACTGGGCCAGGATCCCAAATAAATGAAGATTCTCTATTAAAATTAGGCATACATGTTCTATTTGGATACTTGGTTTTTACAACTAGTAGAGACTCACAACTGTTACATTACTAACCTCTGTCCGTGAATGAATATAGGAAATTGTAGTAAAGTATCAGTTCTATTTTAGAGATGGCATGTGGAAAAACCCTTAGTGAGGTTTCTGTACCCAAATATCTGCTAATATACAGTCAGTGAAAGCTTCTTCTGCTCATTTGGGATGACATTTGTGCAAGCAGAGTGCTGAAGTTTCCAGGAGAATCTTGCTCCTGGGATTTGAGATGAGCCCAGTCACAACACATGGAGGGCAATTACTTTTTTTATGCGGGATTCAAATGAGTTCTATTTTGATAACCTCAACTTTTATTCTGCCACCAAACAGCTGCATTGCTTCAAGAAGCTTCTGCGTGCATTTAATGAATAAGATGATTAATCTTTCTGAATCTTTAATTAAATGCCTGCTTCTGAAAAATGGTTTCTGCCTCATAATATCACGCTTTTCTGCTGTTTCTCACTTGTGTCCTTTTGTACAGGGTGCCATCATCTCCAGAGCTTGACTCAGCAGCCCCCCAACAAACCATGCTTTGATACGTTAACAAATTATATCTATGCTGTTATTTCCTATTAGAGGTGCCCAACTATAAAGGACATTTCAGAGTGGCTTAGTAAGAAACAGAGGAGATTATTTAACAATGCCAGGAAATTAATTGACACACATCAATTTAGAGTAAACCTTAATTCCACATCATAAACTATCTAAATATTGGCATTGGTGTACTAAACTATATTTATCAAGTGATTTCTTTTAAGGATTAGAAGGTTTGTGATATCAATGATTACTTTGTGCGCAACTCTCCAATCTTTTTTATTGTAGTGCTAGGGATTGAACTCAAGGCACTTGCTAGGCAAGTGCTCTATCACTGAACTACACTCTCAGCCTCTATTTGCCTTTTCTAATCTCTACTGTGTTCCTTCTTGCTCCTATGCCTTAGCCAGTTGCATTCTATTCTTGTCCCCTCAGCCAACTTCCACTGATCCCTCATGTCTGATCTCAAGTGATGCTTCCTCTAGGAAACCTCTAACTCCCTTAAGCTTCCATAGGGCCGTCACTTTTTAAAGTTCCCACTTATTCTTTCATAATTATTTAAGTCCTGTACCCTCTATGGGACGTGAGACTTCTTGATGATTGGCACATCATCTTTGTCTTTGTGTTGCAAGCATCTTCCACAGCATCCAACACAGAGTAGTCACCCAGTTATTAAATGGGTAAATTGAATGCAAATAGTGGGGCAGAGAGATGGAACTCAACTACCCACCCAGACTTGCTAGAGACTCTAGTGGGAAAATATGTAGAATCAGATTATTAGAATGAATCAAAATATTTTTCTTAGGACACAAATGAGGGAAAAAACATTGGCTGTGATCCTCAGTGATGGAAAGGAACTGACATGCAAATATGTTTGGGACTACTGTGTAAAAAAAATCACATGGTGATTCAGTTTAACATTCTGGCAGGATTTAGGAAATCCAAACCAGGCATCATGTAGTTACTCAATTTGGGGAAAATAATAACAAATGGGCACTAGAGAAACTGGAAAGTAGTTATTAAAAGCTTTTCATTATCCCCATATTACTCTTTAAAATGTCTTTATAGTATACTCAGGAAAAATATATAGCTCAGAACACGAACAAGCCACTGAAACAAAATCCTTGCATGACTTTCCAGCCCAGTGGAAGGGCTGAGTTAGGGAATCTTTGAACTTTGCACTACTTTGAATGTCAGTTCCAGTGTTGCTATTTACTTACTGGGTCCCTTTGAGAAAGTGCGAAGTAAATCATATGAGTATCAGTTTTTATAACCATAAATTATCTCAGGAGTATTTGGAAAGCATCCAGTGGAGTGGCTAGCATGGGGTGTGATCTAAAAATACAGTGAATGTTCACATTTTCAAAACTTTATTACAGTAGAAGATGTAGTGCCATTAATCCCCATCAAAAGAGCCTTTGTCATCTCAAACATATTTATTCAGTAAGTCTTGCCACTTTCAGAAGCAGTTCTAGAAGCTCTTTCAGTGAATATCTTTAGTTGTGCTGTGATAGCTACATTCATGTCCTAAATCAATTCAAAATGTTTACCCTTCATGGTCATCTTGACTTTAGGGAAGAGCCAGGAGTCACATGGTACTGGATGTGGTACATAAGGTGAATGAAGACACACTGTAATGTTTTTGTGAGACCGTCTTTCTGTTGGATGGCACTCAGAAGCCATTCTTACCCTACTTTTTCATCGCACCTTGTAAAGATGCTCACAAAAGAAGACTTCTGAAATTGCTTCAGAAAGCAGCAAGAATGATGGAATAAGTATATTAAAAGTGAGGGAAAGTATTTTGAGGGCAATTAATGGCACTGTGTTTCTTACTGTAACACTTTTAAAGAATTTAAACATTCAGTGTGATTTTCAGTCATCTCTGGTAGTAAGCAACTGGTAGATGGATGCCATAGTATTTACAGGAAAAGAACACGTGCTGTTGCTGTCATCACTGTTGATAAAGGAAAGGTCATCTGTTTAAGGATACTGGATCCACAGCATACAGAGGCTATAATACATTTTGTTACCTACTATTAGAAATTTTTCCCTACTAGCTTCCCTAATTCCTCTGTCATAAATAGGCAAGTTTTCCCAGCAACCACAGTGTTCTTACACTGGAAAAAAGACAAACACTTCTGAAGCTTTCTAGAACTCAAAGGATAACCTTGAGTGCATCTGTTGACAAATGGAAAGGGCACTGACGAAAGGTCCATGACCTCTTCATCAGCTTTTGTAGGGACCTGTGTTTGATTTGACTTTGGTAGAGCAAGACTGGGTGGGTGTTATGGTTTGTGTCTGGATGTCCCCGCAAAGCCTCATGCAGTCATGGGGTAGGCTTCTAGAGTTTATGATTTATCCATGGTTCAATGCTGGGATTATGGGTGTGAGTGCTACACCCACTCTGGGGAGGATAGCTTGCATACAATATAAAGAGAGGGAAAGAGCCTGCTAGTTGCGACTCTTTCCTTGTTTTGCTCTTGCTGCCTTTGCTGTTTTCCGCCACCATGAACTGTTGCCCTGTGCCATATGCCACTCTGTCTTGGAGCTAGCTGAGTATGGACTGAAACTTCCACAAACTGTGAGTTAAGTAAACCTTTCCTTCTTTAATTTTGGGTATTGGGTATTTTGTCTCAGCAACGAGAGAAAAGTAACCAAGACAGTGGGTGAAGATAAGTATATCTTCATAGATTCATGAATAACTCACCTGGAATCAAAGACCCTTTGAGGATGAGTAGCCAGATAGATGGCATAAATAAAATATTACAAGTTTAAATATTAGGTGCTAGTCTAGATCCATTTTCTTTTTTTTTTTCTTTTCTATATTTTACAGAGAATAAAAAAATAAGAAAACAACATTAAAAACAACACAGAATTTTAAAACAAGATGATAGGAAATTAACAATGGTTGTTATATTGCATATTATTCTCTTCAAAGTAGTTGTTCAGATTACCAGATATAAGCATGTAAAATTGGTCAAAAATTAAGCATTAACTGTTTCTTTCAATAAACCAATAGAAATTAGTAGTATAATTATCTTAGCTATCTTGTGTATATATATAATTTTTTCCTTTGTTTTTTCTTTTCTCCTTTCCCTAGCAGTTTCTTTCCCTTTCAAAATATAGATCCATTTTCATCAAGATGTTTTCTATAAAATAGAAATAGTCATAAAACAAGATTCCATAGTTACATATGTTTGGGAAATGCTATCATTCTTTCTTGGAATTTCACCTGGAATTAGCTTATTAGAGATTTTTAAAAGCTGTGCAGCAAAGAGAGTTAATATTTTAGGCTTTACGGGCCATACAGTCTCTGTCACTCACCTCTGCAATTACAGTGTTTCAGCAGTCACTGACAGTATGTAAATCAGTGGGCATGATGGCGCTCCAATAAAACTTCACTTACAGAAACGTGATGGGCTGGATTTGGTACATAGCTGTGGTTTTCTGACCCCTAGACTAGACCATTAACTGCTTTTAATCATTTCCTTTGATTGTCTTGTCTACTTGTAGGTACGTATATTTAATACTAATGCATAATGGGCTGTCCCAAAAGGTCTAATCTTAGAAAGTTCTTTTTCAAGAGAAATCTAAATTTGTGTTGAAGTACAGCCAGAAAGGCTGAATCCATTGTGAATTAATACTAAAAAAGAGAAATCACAAGGTATCGAACACTCAGTGAATACGTAAATCCAAGTCACTTGGGAAATCACTTCTAGGGACCTGTAGGATATATACTCACAGCTCTCCAGCTGCAACTTGCATGTCTGTGTGTCCATGGGATATTTGGACAGATCCATGTTACATGAAACAGTTGTTGTGATTCTAAGAAAAGAAAAAATGGGCTCAGAAAGGGTATTACAAGAACACTATCAAAAGTATATATCATCTTCCAAGGACCACTCCAAAAGGATTTTCACCTGGACTCTTTTTTTTTTTTTTGACCAATTTTGCATGCTTATATCTGGTAATCTGAACGACTAATTTGAAGACAACAATATGCACTATAACAACCATTGTTGAATTCCTACCATCTTGTTTAGTGAAGCTCTGTATTGTTTCTAATGTTTTTTAAAGTTATTTTTTATTCTCTTTAATTGTTTGATTAGTCTTGCATTCTTACATCTGGTTATCTGAGCAACTTTGTTGAAGATAACAATATATAATATAATAACCATTATTAATTTCCTATTATCTTGTTTTGAAATTCTGTATCATTTTTATTGTGTTGTTTTGTTTGCGTCTTTGTTGTTATTTTGTTATGTTTTTTCTCTTTAAAATTTTTTTTAAAAAGAAATACATAGCTTAGAGCCCAGATTCAAAGCATTTTAGAGGTTTTCTATGCTCAACAAACCACTGAGACTCAGTTAAAAGCTGGGTCCAGAGTGGTGGAAATTGGAAGCCTGGCAACTCAGAGGCAAAATTTCCCTGCGTTGGAGCCAGCTGACTATGAACTGAAACCTCTACAAATTCTGAGGTAAAATAACCTTGGCTCCTTTAACTGTGGGTGTTGGGTATTTTGTCTCAGCAATGAAAAAGTAACTAAGATAGAGGTGGGTCCTGCCTGGTTGGAGGGGGCAGTTCACTGGTGGCATGACCTGGAAAGGTGTATTCTTGTGCCCAGTTCCCTCTTTCTTTCTCTGCTTCCTAGCTGCCCTGAGGTGAGCAGCTGTTCTCTGCCATGCTCTACTGCCACGTCATTTCTGTGTTGGGGCCAGCCAGCCATAGACTAGACCCACTGAAACTGTAAGCCAAAGTAAACCTCTCTCATAAATTGCAGCTGTCAGGTATTTTGTCTCAGCAACAGTAAAGCTGAACAATACAGTGCTCAATACCTAGGTATGCTCAACTAAATGTCAGAGATACTTTATTAAGTATTTGCTGTGAGTCAGTTTCTCGGCTAAGTGTGTCACATGCATAAACCTTTGAACAGCTCTACAAGGTATGAAATATTATTATTCCCATTTTACTGCTGAAGACATTGAGGCCCAGAGGGCCAAGGACCTTGTATAAAGCCACAGAACTTCTAAGGACACAGCAGGCATTTGTACCCAAATCTGACTCCAGAGCCAGGCTGTTAACTGTTACCTATCATTCATAACCTTTACACACGACTGACTGTACTGTGTGCTGTAATGCAGACAGACACACATGTACACACATATACACATATGTGCTGTTGGGACATGGGGAAGGGGGACACTAATGTTGGCTGGAGTTGGGGGTCAAAGGAGAGGTCTAGGGAGCTTTCTTGAAAGAGGATTTGGGGTCTGAACTGTTCTTTACAAACTCCAGTGCTGCTGTGTTATGTCCAGAAGTTTTGTTTATTCTTAGCTCTGCCCTTGCTTTGTAACTTCAGGCTTTTACTTGGGATTAAAGATCAATGGCTCCTAGCCTCTGGGAGCATGAGTGTACACACTGCTTGCGTTTCCCTTTGTCAGGATGAGTGCTCCACTGTGGGCTGCCTCATGTAGCACCTAGGGAGCACTTTTCCTGTTCCAGCCAACTATGGGCCCTATAAACAATTAGATGGAAGGAACTTTAGCCCTCAGGGCTTTGGTGATGGGTACAAGGGAGCCTATGGCTGTGAGTGCACCGCACCTTGATTTGTGCAAATATGACTCAGATAAGTAGAGGTGCATTCTGGAGTTATCCCATCCACTGGGCTCCGTGAAAGAAAAATTCTTTGCATTCATCCTCTGTGCCCTTCCTTTTTCCCTTGATCACTTCCTTCTATTCTTTCGGACTCAGAATCTTGTGGAAGTATCTTATAACATCACCCCTAGAGCTCTAACCTGCTTTCCAACTTGGGCCCCAGCACTCAGCACTTCCTTTGATGACATGTCTACGTGCTTGAGGACAGCATGCATTTTATTCAGCTCTGTATCTTCAAAGTTCAGCACAGTGCCTGGCACAGTGAATGCTATGGAGCTGGGCTGGATAGAAACAGGGCCCTTCTGTTACGGGAACAAGATCTAAAAGGGCAGGAGCATGAGTATGGACTTCAGAGTGGTGATTTTAGTGTGGGTCAGAACTAGTCAAGCTATGCTTTTTATTCCAGCTGCTTCCCCTCCAGCCGTAAAGTCACAGGTACCTGCTTACCTGAGTGCATATAGGACCGTGCCATTGGAGAAGAGGCGGATGAGCCTATTTCCAACTGTGACTTCATGGAGGAAAGACTTCTTTGACTCCACAATGTAAGTATCTGGCACCCACAGGAACTCCACAAGGCGTGCATCCAGAGTGAAGCTCTTGTTGCCTTCAAACACCAGCCGCTGGTCTGTCCAGCGTTGCCGGAGGTATATGGTGGCGGTGTAGTCCTAAAGGGGAGGCAAGGGAGTGGAAGTGAATGAGTGGTGGTGATGGTGGGGCTCAAAAAGTAGAAGAGAAAGAGCCATGTGTTACTTCCCTCCCCACTTCTACTTAGGCCAGGGGTACACAGACAAGGGTGACTGTAGACAGAGACAAAGTTAAGTCTTGGGGTAGTTGCCTATGGCAATAAGAGCATAGACTGCTCTATTTATTATGGGTAGTAATTCCTACTTCCCAAAGACAGCCCCATGTTCATGACCTTGACCTACAAGCCATGCAAGCTCATGGTGCCTGAGATCACAAAGGCCACAGAAAATTGCTGAGGTTCACGTGCATTTAGCCAGAATTTACTGGAAGTGGACAGTGGGCCTTCTTTGCCAGTGGCCTTCAGTGTGACCTTATCTTCCATATGTTGTCTTATGAGTGAGGACCACTCAAGGCAGTCTCTGGATCACAGCTTTCATCAGCTCGTCTTCCCCTCTTGTGTCCTCCCCTCTTCAAAGGACCCTCTGAGAACCAGGCTTCCCCACTACATCTTTACTGTTTTCCCAGATTTTAGTCCTCACTAAATGTCCCTACTTCATTCTTTGGTTTCTTGCCTCCCCGCCTTTGAGTCTATTTTCTTCCTTGTTTTCTTTGTTGCAGAAAACCTGTTCTATAAGAATCTTCCACTGTCTTGATTTGGGGGAGGGGCCTCCAGCTTCTGTTACTTCAGTTAGGGAAGGGCTGTAAGTCTTTTCTGTTTGGGGGTAGATATGAAGTATATCCCCATTCAACACAAGGAGAGAGACAAAAGGACAACACATACCATGTTACTCTCTGAAATACTAGAAATACTTGCGATGTCCAGAGTCAGTGCTATCTGAACCGGTGCTCCTAAGAATGAAGAAAAACCAGAAAGACAACCTAGAAACACAAACCTGTCTTTCTCTTCCCACCCATCCATTTTAATCCTCTGCCTCCCCTTAGGACCACACAGCCACTGCATACATCAGGACACTGGGAAAACAAATCTCTTAAATATTGCAAAAGTAAGCCCAGGCACAGTGGCACACACTTGTAATGGCAGCATTCTGGGAGGGTGAAGCAGGAGGACTTCAGGTTTGAGCTCAGCCCAGGCAAATTAGTGACTCAGAAAGGTTCTATTGCAAAATAAAAAATAAAAGAGCATTAGGGGTGTAGCTCAGTGTGAAAGCTCTGGGTTCAATCCCCAGTCGGGAAAAATTTTAGAAAGTAACAGTTGCTTGTTAGAAAACAATCTAAACTATAAAAAGTAAGGTTAATTTCTAGTTTCCCCCTCTCAGGAGCAATCATGAGTGTGCCTCCTTTTTGTACGAAAAAATATGCACAAATACAAAGTTGTCATAATACAGAAGAGAGACCACACCAGTATTAATTAGTGCATTTTTTCAAGAATGCAATGATAAAGTATTTGCTACTTCTTCCAAGGAAAATATTTCCTGTGATGCTTGCCTGTGATTGAGATATGGTAATATGATTGTGGATAGATGTTTTTTCCCCTCCCCTTGACTAAGGAAATTTACCACAAGAAAATTTTGAAGGCTGTTCATGGTTGAGCTCTCGTGGACTTCCTGACACTTCCCTCCTCCTCCTTTACTCTCCAGGAACCCTAAACCATTGAGAATTTCAGAAACTCTGCCTGTGTACAGACTATTAGGCCTCAACACTTGAGTCTTGGTCAATGGATCAAACTCCAGAGAACCAGTCTTAGCTCTGGAGATGAAAGTGTGATGGCCACCATTCTCAGATGCTCAGCAAGGCCAGCCCAGGATCATTTGTCCCTCTTTAGGTCAAAGATATGGAAGAAAGGCCACAGAGTGTGAACCATGTGAATTTAGGCACAGCTCTGCCACACCTTGGCTCTGTGATTCGGGAAAAATTACCGAATCTTCCAGAGCAGCAGTTTTCTCACCTGCAAGTGAGAATGATAGTAAAGATATCATAGGATCAAAAAGAGGGTGAAATGAGGCTAGGAGAGTGACAGTATCTTTGCAGAGTGGCAGCAAGCGGGAATGTATCAGAAGCATCTCCAGAAAGTGCTCCGAAATGTTACCTTCCAGTATGTGGCTTCCAGTATCCTACCGTCAGCGTATCTCCCTTGCATTCTCCCTGTCTTTCATAAACCTTGCCATTATTCTGCTTACCCTATTAATACATGCAATAGCATGCCCTTGTGGTCAACAGCGCTCAGTGCTCAGGGGACTGTGGCAATGTATTAAGTGGGAAGAGGAGAGGTGGGCCACCAAGGGAAGTTTGGAAACATCCGCTTGATAGGAATTGGACAAAGCAAGTTCATTGTTAATCTAAAGAACTCAAGCCATAGAATGTAGGTAGGAATTTGGAAATGGAGTTTTAGAGCCAATATCACTGTACAAGATATTTGACTGCTAATCTTTGGTGGGAAAGAGGGGTTCTTCGAGAGCAGTCAGAGACTGCAAGGTGTTGAAAGGCTTTCTGCCCCTCTAAGCATCAATGTGCAGCATTACAAATCAGAGCTGGAGTCTGAGATGGGTGTTTGAATCCCATGCTGCCTACGGAACAGCCTTGTGACCTTGAACAGATTGTTATACCTCTCTGTGCTAGTTTCTTACCTGTGCTGCTATGGTTTGAGTGTGTGTTTCCTCCCAAACTTGGGTTGAAATTTAGTTGCCATTATAACAGTATAAAGAGGTGATTAGATTGTGAAGGCTCCTCCCTCATGGGTAGGACTGGTACCATTGCAAAAGGGTGAGTTTACCCCCTCTTACTGTCTCTGACTTTCTTCCTTGGCACTGGCTGCCATGTGATGGTGTAGCAAGAGGGCAGTTGCCAGGTGCTGGCACCTTGACCTCAGACTTCTCAGCTTCTAGAACTGCAAACCAATACATGTTCATTCATCATAAATTTCCCAGTGTTCTTATATTCTTGTTATAGTAGAACAAAACAGACTCAAATAAGGGCCTGTTGTGATGGCATGATTTTGGAAGCTATAGCAACTATTTTAAGTGCCTGGAATACAATGCATTTTCAATCAGTTGCCTCCCTGAAGAATACAGAGGAGAAAACACAAAAGATCCCTGTCCCACTGTGTGCATGTGTGCACATGCGTGTATGCGTGCATGTGTGAGTGTTTCTAGATAGTCTAATGCAGGCTTGACTATGGTGGTGTTTTTTTCTGACCAGAGCTAGCCCTTTCTTCTGGCATTAGAAAGTAAGCTGTGCCACCAGGGGGCAGCTTCTTCCTAGGAAGAAGGTCAGATCAGCTCCTGGGTCATGTTCCTTACTGCCTGCTTACAAATCTTTGTTCTGTGCCACCTGATCTCTTAATAATCCCACAGAAGTCTTGCGTGTTTAGGAGCTTGGCACTCCAGAAGCTGAATGTACAGTTTTGGGAGTAATGGTGCCTCTGTGGGCCTCCTGGCTGCCAAGCAAATGTGAGGTCTTTTAGGAGGTAGAGTACCAAAAAGGCACCAAGCAAGACTGAAGACCCTGGGCCCCAGTTTTTGCCCCAGGGCGGGCCTGGGCCTCACATTCCCTTAGGTCTACTCCAGGCTCCCTGCTCTCAGCATGACCTCCTTGCCCAAGGACTGTGTCTTGTTGGCTAAAGAGGCTAGAAACAAAGAGAGCAGGGTCCTGACTTAATTGTTTGAGGCTTGGGAGGCAACAGCAATTGCCGAGTGGACCTAACCCAGTTATTCACCGCTTGACATTAGTGTTGAGCAGGGCCTGGGAAACTGAGGGATTGTGGAAGTTCTCTGGATTTCTTGACCTAAGAACTCAAATCCTAACTCTGTGGCCATGCATCTCCCAGATCTCCAGGTAGTGTAACTGCTCTGGAATCTATCAGCACCCTTGCTCTGAGGCCATGCTGCCCCATGGGCTCAGCCAACGAATGTCCTGAGCACAGCAGGGACACTAAAGCAGTCCTGTTCCCAGAGGCACAGAGCTTAGAGTCCTCTGATGGGCCACTTTGGCCCAAGGTGGCCTTTCCAAGAACACTTTCTCCTAGAGCTGCACTGCTGTGTATGACACTTCCACTCAGCCTTCCTTTCTTCCCTCTCTCCTTCCCTACAGGTCAGACCTAAACTGTGGTCTGAGAGCTCCCCAGCTTACCTCTCCTCCCTCACTCTTGACGTCATATCCCAGTAACTATCTTGAAGAGGTTACCCTCCTAGCATCTGCCCTGCAGTGGCCCTGGGCTGACACTAATCCTTGATCTGATGGGAGAATTTTCTCATCTGTAGGGAGGGCCAGGAAGGAGAAGGGATGAAAGTAGAAGGCCTCCTGCTGACGTGGCAGGCACTGTGCTTTGTGCCTACACTCTTTACACCATTTGGTCTTTCCTGTGAGGGAGGTGGGATTCCGTATTTACAGAAAGGTAAACTGAGGCTCAGCAAGCCTAAGGCACTTGCCAAGCAATTGAACCTGGAGCCAGCTCAGGTTTATTCTAAAGTTCTTTCTATTGCTTTCTGTTATGAAGTAGATAGCTGGGCTTATTCCCTTTAACTTTGCCTCATTCTTTAAACAAATATTAGTTAACACCTTGGTATGTCAAGCAGGAAGCTTCTGCTTGGGTGAGTGAGGTAAATGAAGCAAGATTCCTCCAAGGTCTGCTGCCCAGAGCAGAGACCATCATAAAACAAAGTACAGTGATTTGGAGGTGTGATCCAAATAAAGTGTGATGAAAAGGGTGGGTCCTGGAGGAACCAGGGAGAACTTCTTGGAGGAGATCGCTGTTGCTCTGAGACATGAAGGGAAATTGGCCATTTTCCCAGGAACTCAAGTTGAAAAAGGAATTCAAACCTCTGTAAGGGCAATGCCAGGGACCAGTCAAGGCACACTGTGGACCGGAGGGGGAGGGGTGGGGAAGAGCAAAATGGCAGACAAATAGGGGCTGGGCTGGGAAGCACGCGACACACTTGGACTCTAGGTAAGGATGCTGGGGCACATGCAAGTGTTCTGAGCAGGCCAAAGACCCAGAAGGGCCATCCAGGTGGCACTGAGGGGAGTTAGCTGGGAGGGGGCAAGCTGGAAGACCAGGCAAGGTAGTGCTAGTGGTGCACAGTGAGTTTCATGAATAATGACTCTGGCAGTGGGGCAGAAGAAAGACCGTGAGAAATTGCTGGGAGCTCTTGCAACCTCATCAAGCAGGGAGAGTATGCTTTTATCTTGCAAGTGGAGAGGCAAAGTGCTTTCTTCAAAGTAATATGAAAAATCATTGACATTAATTATCATCACCAGCATAGAATCAACCAAAACCTCCCGAAGTCTCTGAAACTTCTGCTGCATTTTGTCTCTGCTCCTGTCCTTTTGAATTAACGTGTTGGTCACAAGGCATAACCTACCACCAAAGTTGGGCCTGAGGAATTTGTTGTATCCTGCTGTGAGGTTGTCAAAGCCAGGCAGGGAGAGCTTGTCATTTCTGCTGGCCTCCATGTTTAACTTGTTCCCTTGGATACACATCCTGAAAAAGAAGATAGTTTTTGTTGCATTTATGTGTGAATAAACATGTGTAGACATAAACTGAACTTGTCTTTGCATGTGTGTTGTGCCTGTCTACCCCCAGTGACTTTCCTAGGGGAACACCTTAATTTTCAGCTGGTAAATTAGCATCTCTGTGCTTTATCCATTTGAAATAAATCAAAATGTCATAATAATTTGGGAAATCTGCAAGCGTCTTCTCAGAAAACACAGGAGATTCATCTACCTATAATTTTGGGAATGTTCACTCTGTACATGGAATAAATGAGGGAGGTGATAATTGTTCAGTGCTTAGGGAAGTGAAGCGACTGGGTCATAAGTGAGTAGGAAATGCTGCCACCTCTCCCACCCCGTGGTTATACACGAAGCGATTTGACCAAGGTCGTTTGAAAGTAGGAACGCTCACCTCTGTGTAAAGAGACTCAGACACATGAAGATCAAGTGGAGACTGTAGCTCATGTTGAGGATCTGTTCACAAAGAGGGGCTCGTGTAAGAACAACCTGGGGAGACAGACGGGGCATGGAGTCAGGAGAGAAACCGTGTGCTCGCCTACGGCCAGCCTGGCCACTGTTTCCTGGGGTCCTCAGGAGCAACATTTTCCCAACATGCACGGGGAACAATCCCCATCCTTCCACACTTTTTAGTACAACCTCTGCCCCCTGCCTGCCATTCAGGAATGTAGTACATCATTATGGAGGATAAGGTTTGTTTAAATGCACCCCAAATAAAGGCTGAGCCATTAATTAGACAATGGTGCCCTGTAGCCAGGAAATGTAGCCTGGCCTGCATATTGCAGAACCTCAGGACTGTTCTTACATGCATCTTGTCTTGACACCCTTAACTGTACATTCATCCAGCCCCAGCCCATTGTTCTTTATTGATCTCAGAGTTGAGGCCTAGGAAATAGGTTGTGTTCTAGCTTTATCCTCATAGCTCCCTTGTGCAGTGGGCAGGTTAGTCCTGTCTTCTGAAGACGAAACAGGGGGTCATGGAGAGGATCCTATACTAGTGAATACTAGAGGTGACTTTGAACCCAGAGAGGGCTGCCTTACTCTCCTAGGTACTCTTTTCTTTCAGTACTGGCTTCAGGACTGAGCCTTTGTTGGCCTGAAGGCATTCACCGCCCTCATGACCTTTCTGACCTGATTCTGGGAGCGCTGCAACCACATGGCTGGCCTGTACTGATGGGTACATAGGGATAGGCATGGTCAGGGCCTGGCCTCCTCAGATGCGGCAACTACTGTCAAATGTCCCGCTGAGAGAGCAGGAGGCAGCCAGGAAGGCCAGCCTCTGGCTGGTTATGCTTCTGGCAGCAGAACAGGGGTTCTCAGGCTCAGATGCCCTTCTAGACACGCCCTAACTGGGCCATTCCCTGGTAACCTCAGGAAACCAGGCCACTTACTAGAATCTAGAAAATTCTAGAGCTTTGGTCAGATCCAGCCATTCATTAAATAATATTCTGCTACTTACGAAACCAGTACCTGCTCACAACAGAAATGAAAACAAGAAAACAAGACAGAAATGAATAAACATGAAAGTGTAAATCCCAATGATATCTCAGTGTGAGTTCACAGACTGCAACAGATGGAGCATTCTGATGTGGGATGTTAACAGTGAGACAGTTGTATGTGTGTGCGGGGGCAGGGGCTCAGTTTTACTGGGACTCTACAATTGCTTTAAAAAAATAAAATGTACTTAAAAAGACAAAAACAAAACAAAGGAAATGTAAGTCCCTCCCCCATTTCTCCTCTCTAATCTCATAGCTCAAAGATATCTATCGTTAACAATTATTTTATCTGGATACATACATATATATATATATATTTACATAAAGAAAAAATTAGGATGATAGTATTCAGTTTTTTATTATGTATTCTTTCCCACATATCATACATTTATCGAATACTTAATACATATTTACCTGTGCTAAACACCTCTAAAATCTTTGCCCTTCTTTGAAGTGGTTACTATTATTCTCATTTTACAAAAAGGAAAACTGAAGCTCTGAGGGGACAGGACACATTCCCAGAGTTATCTAACAAGGGCAGGGCAGAGTTGAATCCAAGCGTGGTGACCTTAGTCCTTAGTCACTGCACCAAGGAACATGCTTTTTCTCAAAAATTAGCAGCACCTTTCCAAGTCAGCTCTTCCAGATTGGCTTCATTCTTTCCAATGGCCTTGAGGTATCTCATAATTTAAACATGCTAGTATTTGCATACCTTCAGTGTGTTAATTATAAAGACTAAATTATTTCCAAAGTTTTTACTGTTACAAAATCAGTAAGGAAAATGCTGCACATATGTAAACTTCTAGAATTCTGCACTCTGTCCTGTTTTTCCATCTCAGGTCTTTCCTTCTTGCTCATCAAAAATACTAGCTAATGGCAGGGATGCAGCCTGGTGGTAGAGCACTTGTCTGACCTGCATAAGGCTCTGGATTTGATTCCCAGTGCCACAAAAAGTAAAATTTAAAAAGTTTCTTATAAATTCAATGTGGCTAGTGAGGTCTAACTAGCCCAGCTTGAAGTTCATTTTAAAAATATCAGGATAAAAAACTAGTAGCATCAATCCACCAGTGATCACATTCCTACTTTCCTTAGTCCTCACCCAGTCCTTGTTCTTTCCTTTGTCCCAAGCTTCAAGTTGCAGAGGGTCCATGGAGTGGCTCCCATGGACCCTGCACAAGTTTCATGAGTTGAAAGGCTCCTCCCATGAACCTGACACACAAGGCACCCCCATAGGTCCTGCCTTGTGGGGCAGAAGATAGGCAAGTAGTGACTTGAGGCATCCTATGTCATATATTCATTCTATACCAGAAGTAGAGGTAGGAGCATATTTAGGAAGTGAGTGATCCACTCTACTGGGGGAGGAAGGGACAGTGCTAAGATAGAAGTCACAGAGACAGTCATTTGATTCTTGGGGTGTGTTGTACTTGGCAGCCATACATAGGCGGTCAGAGACCCTCTAGCTGTAAGGCAGAGAAGTGGACGTTATCTACACCACTCTCTAACGCACTCCCACTCAGTCTCTTCCCCCAGTTTTTGGTATCTGCAGCTTCTTCCTAGTCTGTCCTAACTTGTCTCCTCTTTTAGGGATATTGCTTAATTTCCCCACATCTTATAGGAAACTGTCTTTGATCAAGTAAGTTGGAGAACCATCTAGGTTTTAGCTCCAAGCATCCTATTGAGTAGAGTATTCCCAGTGGCTTAAGAAGAGAAAATTTTTGAGGCATGGGCCACTGATTCTATGAAGCTTCCAAGAGGCTTCAAACTCTGGGAAGATTTTCCCAGGCTAGAAGGGAAAGTGTGATTGCCTTCCTGCCCTGCATGCTCTGTTAGGCTGCCAAGCACGTCTCACTTTATTACAAAGGAAAAGAGGTGAGAAGCCTTCTACATGCCTGCTAGATGCTAGATGCCAGTTAATTTCACGGTCATCTGGTCCAGGAGTGGAATCTCAGATTTAGGAGGGGATGCGGTGGAGGCCACACAGTTATTAAGTGGGCATGTCTTGAATCTATGTTTCCCAGGTCCCTATTCTTTGTACTGCTTCTTGGAGGAGATGCTTAGCTCCCCAAACTAAGCTAAACTACACTTGGTCCTGCTCCTTAAGCCAAACCTGTTTCTGGGATGGAGTGCTGCACCCATTCTAAGTCCCAGGTGGTAATTGGGGGTTGGTGCCATCTCACCGTGCAGCCAAGGAGCCAGTCATTAAGTGGAGCTTTATGTATCCGCCAGTCTAAGTGGAGGCTCAGGCTGCCAGCTTTGACACAGGTGTTGCAAATATCTTTTAGTAGAGAGCCACAAGAGGGCAGCGTCCTCAAAGGTTATTGACAGGGCAGCGCCTCAGGTTCTGCCTGGAATCATCTGGCTGGCTGCATCTGCTGAGCACACCATAGGCAGAGATTCCAGGAGTCTCCCTGGGGCTAAAATATCTTCTGTACTTGCTTGTGTTTTGGATTCAGACACATCCAAGTCACATATAACCTTTTAGACCTTTATTTTCCCATCTGACAAATGGGAATAAAAAATACTACATAAACATTACTTTCCATTCTCCTCTTTTCCATGTCTTCCACGGGGAGCTCACTAATCCCACCCTGACTGAGAGAACTCTAAGATCAAGTTCTTTGTAATAGACTCGTGCTGCTAACCCAGAGTGTGAACTAACTAGCATCGCCTCAAGGAAGACAGGATCAAACGTAGGACATTAGGGTCACCAGGATCACCTGGGCTAATAGCACTTTCCTCCTGGACTGGCTCTAAGAAACAGAAGTAACTCCAGTATGTGCAGTTTCTGCTCCTGTTCTAGAATTAGCATTGCATAAATATTGTGAAGCCCAAACATATCACACCCTAGTCTGCTTCCTCCTTGGGCAGTTTCCTGGTCGTCAGTCACTTCAACAGAGACAGAGGCCATTTGGAAAGCATGAGTGGAGCCTGAAGTAGGCTGAGGTAAGAAAGGGACTTGGTAGCATGGGACCTCCCCAAGAAAATTACAGAAGGTAAAGTGCAAGGCGAGACCCATGTCTGCTGGTTAGGCTGGCTGGCAGCACAGAGGCAAGCGCTGAAGCCAGAGCGTCGGATGGGAGGAACTCTAATTTTGGCTCTGCCACTTCTTTTGAGGCGGTATAACTTTTCCCTGAAGCTTAGCTTCCTCCATTTAAAAAGGGGATCACTCTATAATAGGACTAGGGACAGAGTAAGGGGTCAGCAAATTCCAGGCCTGGCCCCTTTCCCTTCCTCAGTCCCAGGGAGGGCTTATATTTGGATAAACTTCCTTCCCCTCCCTCCATGCACCACGAGGGGCCAGGAGTTCCCTTACCAGGCAGCGGTTGGAGCTCTTTTAGAGCTGGTGCTTGGGCTCTCCAGGCAGGACTTTCAGGCAGGGCATACTTTTCTGGGTCCCCGGGATCCTCCTCATGTCAGTTCTGACCCCTTGGATGTGAGCACGCAGCCACTCTGTGGTGGAGTGGCTCACTCTTTGGGGAAGACAGAGCTGCTGAACCAGCTGGGCAGAAACAGCTGGGTGGAGCCTCCTGTAGATCCTCCCTGAGTAGAGCTCTGACTGGTCCTGGGTGACCCTGGGAATGATCCAGCTCCTGCTATGGCAACTACCTGCCAAGAGTTTTGATTCTTAGTTCACATCCCTGACTCGATCCTGGACCCTTGCCAAGAAAGGCTCCTGAGTCTATGACTCATGAGAGCCAAGTAAAGTGCATGACCTCACCCACTATGCCAGCTTCTTTCTGCTTTTGGACAGCGCCTCTCCATCCTGGGGCAGTAGAATAGGAGTTGGCAGTGCGACCTTGGGCAAGTGGGTTTGCCTCTTTAGTCCTCAGCTTCCCATCTGTAAAACAGGAACTTGACCATTTTTAAAACTCTGGTTCCTACATATGCATTTAAAAACATTTTTGTGAATCAACAGAAAGCCTGATCTAGTGAAACAAGACTTTCTGTCAGGACCTAGTGATTTCCAGACTGGTGAGTTTCAAAGACAGACATAGAGGGCAATAGGGTAGTGGGTAGAATCTCAACAGATCAGCCCAGGAAGAGGTGAGAGAGACTCTGGCAGAAATTTGACTAGATTTCTCCACCTTTCTTCTTTTTTGCATCCCAAACCTCTCACCGAGGGTGTTTAAACTCCCCCACAAAGCCCCATTAGAAGCATCTTAGATACAGGGGTCTTTGTCCTTCACGACCAGCTGAACTTCCTAGCAGAAGTGATTCAGTAGCATTCCTCTGGCCCTGAACCCTCATCATAGCCGTGTAGCCCTGAAACTCACTCTTGGCTGTAGTCTCTTGGTAGAACTCCCTGACACTTGGCTTTACACGCAAGAGAGCTGGGGGCCAGGAAAGGAGTCAACTGGAAGGGCAGGGAGGGAGATAAACCTGTGGCAAGATGTCCAGAGGTGCCGCCTTCCCTCGCAATATTAACTAACCTTCTGCATAACCTTCTGCTGGTCCTAGAGGCGGGGAGGTGGGAGACAGGGAAAGAGCCCGGATGCAGCTGTAGGCAGTAAAAAGAAGTGGGCAGGAGGGGAGGACCTCAGTTTACAATGCACCATAGATGTCTTTGGCCCCAAACCAGCTTCCTTAGTGTACCTCTGGAGCCTGGCCAATGTCGAAAATATTTCTGTGCTGGTTGGCCAGTAGGGAGTGGGCACCTGAAGAGCAAGCTCTTTCATTCCTCCTGAAAGGCCCCACTTTCACCTGGGAATCTTGAAGGCGGGCAGAACAGGAATGGTTGAGGAGCCAGTTTCGGTTTTTAATGAATGGAGGGTAGTTTGGGGATATTCTCAGAATTTCCAAGCCTGTTCTCACATAAAACAAAGGCTCATGGATAACAAAGACAATTCAGAGCTGAGAGGCTGGGTTGGGGTGGGGAGTGGGAGGCGGGGCCTAAGGGGTGCTCTGTAACTCCAGAACAGTGAGACTCAGATAAAGGGACAGGGTCTGGCTGGCTGGCTCTGGGTAAGTTGCTCAGTCGCTCTGGATCTGTCCCTTACCCAACACGTGGGAATGAGAATTCCTCCGTGTCGCTGCAAGAATTCAGCAGTGGGGCTGGGGATTTAGTTCAGCAGCACAGCGCCTGCACGGCAAGCGCAAGGTCGTGAGTTCAGTTCCCGGTACCGGAAAAAAACCAAGAAAAAAAAAAAAGAATTCAGCAGTGGCAGTGTGGTACCAGGTCTGAAATTATCTGGCACATCATACCTGGCACACTGTAGATGCTCAGTTGTTCTTTTCCTCAGGTATTGTTAATTCCTTCTCTTGCTTGGACGTATCTATTCAGCCCTGAATTTATGTATGTATCTATGTGTGCCTCTTTCCATGTGTGTATGTCCTGTGTATATCTACCTATTTATCTATCTAATATTTTAATCTTCTAATTAGATTGTTGGTACTTTCACTGCCTGGGGCTTGTATCACTATGTGGATAATCAGTGAACATGTTGATGGGCTGATTGTACCTGGGGGCCCACTCAGGCCAGATCTAAAGATAATAAAGTAGGTATGTTAAGAGGCTTTATCTTCAGTTTCAAACAATGCTTCCTTTTAGTGTCAGGGTTTTCTTAGATTTCTTTTGGATCCACCTAAGAAATTCTCAGATTGAAGTTTTCTGGGGAAATGATGTTCTTTTTGCCCAGTCGCCTTATTCCTTAGCTCCAGAGCTCCTGGCAACCTCCACACCATCAAAGCCATTTAGTTTCAACTCTGACCGCTAGTCTCAGGTTACCAGGTTAGTGGTATTTCGGGATGCTGAGTTATGAACATAGCTGCCCCCACATTACTCACCCCAGTACCTACCTCCTACACCACATGGCCTCACACCCTCTGAGAGCGTGTCCCAGAAAAACAAAGGACAGGGTGATTCAGTGTGTCTTGGTTTGTTCCTTCATCATGATGCACACAGAATACTAAGAAGCCATAGCAATATTATATGTTCATATATTTTACAGTTTTCAGAGCTTTTTACTGTACATGTGCCTTATCTTCTTTGAAGAGTATAATAATCTTGTGAAGCAAGCAGGGCTTGTTTTTTTAAATTTTCACTTGGTAGATGATGAAGCAGCACCAGCATCACACAGCTGCTACCCCAGAGTAGGGCCAGAAAAAGCTGCAACCCAGGTCTCAGGACTCAGAGTTACCTGCATTATTAGCACACCCATTGCTCTTATTAGACCTTATTGGGTTACCAAGGTAAAACCCAAACCCTCCAGCATCACTTGCTCTTAGCTGACATTTTGAGAAGTCACTAATTTTGGAAGTCACACAGCTAGGAATATATTATTAGTCTCCCACTAGCTTTGCTGAAATGACACCTTTGACTGAAGCCACCTAACAGGTTTAAAACTGTTGTCTAGTAAATCCCCAAGCCCCGCAGTTCTCCAGAGGACAGTTCCTTTTCTCCATCTCACCCCGTACCCCTTACCCGGCATGGTGCTAAGTGCTGCTGGAAAGATGTTGTGGCTGCCATCACACCTGGTCCTTCCTTTGTGGCTTATAGCTTAGAGGTGAAACAGCCTATATTTAAGTAAAAGCACATATTTAACTACAACTTGTGATAAGAGCTCTGAAGGAATTCAACAGGGTGTAACAATAGGTAAAGTTCAGAGTTGGCCAGCTCTGATGAACTGATCTAAGCAAAGTCCCTTGAGAAGGGACAGTTAAGCCAATTCCTGGGGGATAGGAAGGAAATAGCCAAATGACCAGGAGGGCAGGGGAGACAGGGCAGGGGCTGGGTGCTTAGGGGACACCTGTGGCAGCCACGGAGTCAGGAATAAATCCTGCCTGGAGGAGGAGCCAAGGGCTGGCCTCCTGCCTTCTCAGGAGTTTCTCACTTCAAGTTCTCAGAAAATTCAGTGTCTACAACAACAGAAATCTTTGCTGAGCCCTGGAATCTCGCACTTCTCCTGAGACTCAGCCAGACTCCCACAGTGTGAGAATCCACGGACGCCTCCACCCACCCTCTCTTCCCCCCATGCTTTGTTTCTTTTTCGCCCCCAACCTTTTCTCCTGAGTTGCCCAGTCACCAGCAGCCGTCAGCTTCTGGAAATCTGCCAAAAACTGAAAGTATTAAAGATATCAAAGATTTTTTGATAAGAGCTCTGAAGGAATTCAACAGGGTGTAACAATAGGTAAAGCTTCAGAGTTGGCCAATTCTGATGAACTGATCTAAGCAAAGTCCCTTGAGAAGGGACAATTAAGCCAATTCATAAGCCACAGCAGAATCAGTGGCTCTGGGGCTCACAGAACAGCAGGACAAGGTGGGCTGGACCAACCTAGAGGTGTGCTGAGTCTCCGTGAGACCATCCACTCTCCTGCTGTGCACCCTGGGAAGCTGCTCCTGGGAACGATTTAGTGCACAGGCTGCATTATGCCAGCGCTGGAACTTCGAAATCAGAAGGTGATCAGCGTCACTAAGGGCACAGCGTCACTTCACTTGCCGCACAGAGCTCATGTCCAGTGTATCCAGCTTTCTCACAGCCCTTCAACTCAATAAATAAGTAACAACAAATCAAAATGAAAAACCTTAGCGTCATTTCCACAGAGTCAGGTTCTCCACGTTAGTTTCACCTATCAGTACAATTCCCTGGTCACTTTTCAGCATTTCCAGAATCTAGACACCATATCCTTCTGCATTTCCTGAAATGTTGCCTCATTTCACCACCAAGCGGGGCCTCTTACGGCTCTATTTCATTTGCCAAGAGGGCCCTGCCCACCCTGGGTCCTTGGCAGTTCCTCAGGAGTCAGGAGGCATCTTCGGATGAGGGACTGAAGAGCTGCGTGTCACAGGGGAAGAAACTGGATGGGTGGTGATGCCAGGGAAGCTGGGGTAGTGGGTCTTCTTTGGGATTAGAAATGTCAGTCTCAGTGGCTGAGTAGAGCAGAGCATAGGCACCAGAGTTAAATTTAGGTTCCAATGTCCTGACTCTGATGTTCCTACTTCGTGATGTTGGTGTAGTCCCCTAGTCACTTTGAGCTTCAGTAGTTCATCTGTGAAATGGGAATGCCTGCTTTGTACCGCTGACACATGTGGAATGCTGTACACTGTGCCCAGCTCAGAGAAGGTGCGCAACACGTCTTCTGTGATTTTGGACCCAAGGCCCACAGCCAGGTTTTCTATTTCTTAGAAAGACAAGAGTTTTATTATTTTCCCTTCATCTTTTCAGTAAAATTTGAGAGCTTATTATGTGCCAGATGTTCTTCTAGGTGTTAGGGAACAAAATATAAGTTTTAGAGAGAGGAAACAAACAGAAAAATATATATAGAGAGATGCAACATCAGATAGGAATAAAGGTATGGGGAAATAGAAAACTGGCTAGAGGGGACGGGAACTACTGGAGTTCTGACAGGTCTAAAGTAGAAAGGCTCTTCCAGGAGGGGCAGTAGGCAGAGGTGTAAAGAGGGCACCCTGTCCGGTTCCGGCTGTCCTCCTCTACCCTCGGGCTCCTTATATTAATACTCTTTCTGAAATGCTAGTAGTATCAGCTCACTTATCCACTTAAAGAT